CTCAACAATAAACAATCTTCTCATTAGGAATAAACCTGCCTCCTGTGTGGACTGTTTGTGGCGGATTATGGTTGGCCCACATTGCTGCATTTTAACATTGCTCAAAATGGTGGTACTTGGAGAGCCTCATATTTTCTGAGGTGATACAATGTGTAAAAAGTTTAAGAAACACTGAGCTATACTGGAAATTACTATTACTACACACTGAGCTGGTGCTGGGAGGCTACCTCAGTGGTAGATTTTTGCATTCATCCCTGATTGAAACCAGCATCATTTTCTTTATCTTTTAGGCAGCAGCACTTCCACTGATGCCTTATCATTTTCTCACATGTCAAATGTACATTTCTCAAACCTGCCCACAGTGAACAGTCAGAGCTTGAATGGCGTTGGCACGCTCACCTCCCTCGCCATGTGGCTAAAGTCCATCGGTGTGAGCTGTCATTGGTCAGAGGGAGGAGGTGGGGGAGTGGCCTCTGTGGCAATGACATTGCGTTATCTCTGACAGGGGTCATGGGGTGAGAGGTGAGAGGGGGCTTCCAGACACTACAGAGAAACAGAGCTTGGCCGCAAGCTTCCTGCAGAGCTCTCCCTTATCGGTCAAACGTTCAACCTTGTTTATGTTTGCTACGAAGGGGTCGGAAGTCCACACAAACTAAAGCTGGAAAACCCAGAGTCTCTCAGTTGCTTTTGAACAACTTGAGTTTTTTCTTTGTGTTTCATCACGTGGGCAAAGGCATTTGGCACTGGAGTCAGTCATCCATTAAAGAAAGAGACTGTGAAGGAGACAGTCTTTTATGATAAGACGTTTTAGCTTCCTGCATTCAGATGTAGGAGAAAACAAGTGTGACTTCTCTTCTTTGTCATCAGGAAGACAAGACACAGGCAACTATTCTTATTCGAAGTCAGTATTTTCTGGTTCGTCGGCTATTAAAAAAATCCTTTTTAGGGCACTTCTATTAGTCAGCCCAATCTACTATTTTCTTTCTTTATTTTCACTTGTTAGTTTTTTTGGAAATGTCTTGCTGTTTAAAATATATCCTTCATTCAACAGCCTACACATTAATTTATTATAAGAAACAAATTTTTTCCAAATGCACGTTATAAAACAATATGTTTAGTGTATGTGATAATGACACCACCACTGGGCATGGATAGTTTTAAGAAATATACAACATGAAAGGAGTCCTTCTTAATTATTAACAAGCTAGTTAAAGAAGAGACAAACAGTGTGCCTCTTGTAAAGTGGTACTATTATGTTTTTTGCTAAGAACTTTGCTAAGAAATTAATTAACCCAAAATGGCCCTTTACACATGGTGACATTGAGGATATTATTATTTTACAGTTTTAACATAATATGTTAGTTATAGGTCCAGTGTGTAACAAAGTGTATAATCACCTGAAAATGAGAAATAAAAACATAGTGTCTGGTTTTGAAATGCAAGTTTAGTATATGTCATAAAGACCTTTGACTGTAATGATATATAGCATAACATTGTGGGCTCACCAACATTATTAAATAGACAGACATCCATTTAGTAAATATGGCCACATAGAATGCATTAAAACAACACTGAAGTACCTCCACTGAGCTGAAAGAAATATTGATTTAGTCTAATCTTTGAATTTGACACTTTTAATTTCACCTCCAACAGTTAAGGGAACATTTATTTCATCTCACATACAATGATACAATGAAAGGTAATGCACAGAGAGTGAAATGGAGCACAGATAAGTAGTGGACTATTATTTGAGCTCCATTGTTCAACGAGTTGTATTTTATTAACCAAGGACTTTGACTGGATTAACGTCTACATTTATGTTTAACCCTATTTTTCCACTTAACCTTCGGTTTTAGACAGATCATATAATGAGTATCACATTTTGTTATACAACTCCTAATTTGTACAATGTGCTATTTTGTGCCAATGTGATACCAAAAGGGATTATTGTATGGAAGAATGAGGATATAACACACAGCGGTCTACAGAAGCAGACTGCACCACATTTAGAGTCCCAATAGATGGTGCTATATTGTGAGACATTTGTGTGACTGAGGAGCTTGACACCTTCCAACTGCTGCTCAAACACAGAACAGCTCAAAATGTTTAGGAAAATATCAATAGTTTGCATATAATAATAAAGAGTGTTAGAAAAGTATGATGAAGTGATGGAAGGAATGCTATAGCATAATTTAGGAGATTTAAGATATAAGAGATGAGATTTAAGAGGTTAATTTATGGTTCAAATGTACGTCTATGATAAACCATGTCAATGGTGTCTGTTTGCATATTCACTGGTCTCTTGAGTGTATGTGTGACACACACACACACACAGAAGCAGATATAGAGAAGACCAAGAATTTAAAAAAGGCAAAAGCGATTTTAAACAGGCATCAGATAAACTTTTGTACTTGAGAATGTATGAGTGCTAGTATGAGTGCTGGTATGAATGTGATCTTCAGAGGAAATGGTAAAAGAAAGGCAGAGAGAGAGAGCAGGAAGAGGCTGCACCTGCAGAGGAGGTCTTTAGCTCTCAAGCCACCCGCTGTGCAAAGAGAGAGATACAGATACAGAGAAGAAGAGAGAGGGAGCGAAAGAGGCTGCTGCAGCTGCAAGGTTCGGAGAGAGAGTGCACATAGAAGTCAGAGATGGGAGAGAAAAGAGAAGAGAGAAGAGCAATGGAAAGCCAGAGTGCAACGTTTTCTTCCCCAAAAGGCCCCCTGCTACTCCCATGATTCGCATAAACTGCAAAAAGAAAAAAAAAACGAGAAAAAAATCAGCAGTGCTCGGCTGGTGTTTGAAATCATATGTAAATAAGGCACATTGATAATGAAGCGCCAGAGGAGGAAATTCCACTAATTACCTTACAGAGACTTAACAAGGAGCAGGAGGCGAATGTACTTGACATACTGTTTCTCATGAGAAGAAAAGAGAGAGGAAAAGATCTGATGGCAAGACGACAGGTTTCCATTTAAAGTCAATGGAAGTCTTTCATTTAGCTTTTGACTCTGAGTAATCGTGGGTTTCTATGGTAAAGTCAGTTTGTTAAGTTATAGAAATGGATGGGTAGAAAAGGAATCAGGGTGATTCACCATTGAACTGGTGTTTTAATTCACATTAGAGAGGAGATAGATAAATTATGCATATCAGAGGGGGTCGATTTTAAATAACACAAAGATTTCATAGACAAGTAGATGTGAATCAAACACTCTGACAGATATATTTTAGGCCTACAATTTTTGTAAGTAAAATATAACAAAAGGCCCAAACTCAAGCAGGAAAGAGCTATTTTAAAAAGAATATACGTATATATTTGCATACTTGCTTGCAGGTACACAGATGGATAGTTTAGGTCTCAGCGTGCTTTTATTCAGTCAACCCTTCCTTGATAAGATAATATACAAAAATTACTTTTAGTGATGAGGATATGTAGGAGGACTTTTAGAAAGCAGCAGAGCCTCTGTGTCACGACTGTAAACAAGGCTCTGCTCCTCTGCTTTTATTGTGCGTTCCTAACAGGCCTCACTAAATTATGTCTACAAGTGTGTATAATACCGGAGCATCTGTTTGTTCCCCTTTGAATAAATAGGTATTTAAATTATACTGTTTAAATTACCCTCTTATCATGGCCTGACGACTGAAAAGGAAACACGGAAATTAATTAAGAGACGGTTGCTTGCGCAGCATTTCTTCCAGGTGCATTTTGCACTGACGTCCAGGACATTAGTGCCTTCTTTGATAGATGGAGTAATCAACAGAGTGAAAAACAAGGCATGTAACCTCTCAGCGAGGAACAGCTTCAGTTTACAAACATGTTGCTCCTAGAAGAAAAGTGTGGAGTTCATGACAAAGTTTGTCTTCCATATCTGCATTCTTTCAGCAAACTTTCTTGCCCCCTCCAACAAATGTGCCATACAAATCTTGTTTTCCCTTAATTTGTACAAGTTTAGTTCAGATTTGTGTCCCTTTCGCTCCCACGCACAATCTTTATATAATACTATTTTTGTCAAATGTCCAAAACACCCATTATCAACTCATGGAATTTTTTGATTTTAAGACTTGTGTAAACAGCATGGTTTTTATGATCAAATCCAGGATTTTTAATTTCAAACATTATCCTTTGAAAGAACAGCAAGGAGTCAGAGTTTTTCCTTTTCCCTCTGAAACGCCATTTACTGTAGACAACAGGACACTAACTCTGCTGAAATCCAGACAAATCAAATTCTTTTTGGGTGAACAATTCTCAAAGGCAGGTGAGTCACCATGTGTAACAGGAGATTTTGGGTTAATTGATTCCTTAGAAGAACATTCGAAGAAGTAGTTAGCAAAAAGCAGAATAGTACCACTATTATATACTGTTACAGGTTAAAATTAGCTCCAGCTTGACCAAAAACAACAGCAATAAGTTACTTCCTACTTAATGCATCAGTAACAATGTAATAATCATAGCTGCCGATTGTCTTTACCGAAGTACTTTAACTTTTTTTTTTCTACTTTTGACACACACTCTGTTGATAATATTTCTGTACTTATTTAGATTTTAAATACAGTGTTTTTACTTGTAATGGAGTATTTTTCCACCGTTTTACAGCCCACACTTAAGCCATCAGGGCTGCAGTTAAACTAAAGCTGGAGATGTAAGTAAGCAGGGATTTAAATGTGCAAACTGCCTTTTTATTTAACCCCATGAATGGATTTTTGCCTTATGACACCTGCCTTTTGAGTCTAAATCACAAACATGGTGTGTGATGAAGACAAATGTTCCCACTTAGACTGACTCTGTTTTCCAAACTGAAACTCATTGTTTTTGTGGTGTGTGCAGTTTACTGACATCACCTTAAGCGACTCCTGGGTGTTAAACTTTGGCTGCCAATGTGCCTAGTTGCCTGGCACAGCTGTGAATCAGAGTCATTAAACAACTCAACTCAAATGTTGGAGGGACAACCTTGCCTTCTCCATTAAGAAAAAAAAAGTAACTTCAGTGGTTTTACCTCTTACAGTGCTGTGGCTCTACGCGAGGTTCCCAGCTTTGAGACTTTGTCAGCTGAAATGGAATCATTGAAAAGACACCTCTCACAGCTTGACTCACCAATTGTGCTCTGCCATAACGACCTTCTGACAAAAAACATAATCTACAACCAGAAAGAGGGTGAGGAACAGCCATGCACATCACTGACACTGTAAAACACTGTTGGATATAGTACTGAAAGCTAGTTTTGAATTATTTTTACGTGGACATGTAGCAGAAGCAACAAAACCAAAAGAGTGACTTATGCTAAATTCTTTAACTACAGCCTTGTGATTAAAGAGTCTGTTACTGAAGCTAATGTTGGAATAGATTAATGTTTTTCTTTTCATCGGTTTGAAATAATGCAGCTAGAGTCTTCATACCGCTTCCCTTTCTTTAACATACAGAAGAAAACCTTTGAACTGCTGAAAATGTGTTTCCATTTTATTAAATATCTTACCTTATTTGTAGTATTCTTTCATTTATTTTTTTTTATTTTTATTTTTTATGATTATATTTCTCTCACATATTTTACAAGGATGCCAAGGGTGACTCTCAGTCAAAAGAGACTCTTTGTTCCTTTGACTCTCACAAGGTTCTGTACTTTCAATAAAAGGAGGGAGAGTCTAAGATGTGTTTGTCATGTTGTCCTGGTAACTGCTTCTGCTTTCCCTGTCCTCCTCCACCAGGAATGGTTAAATTCATTGACTACGAATACGCCGATTACAACTACCAGGCCTTCGATATTGGCAATCACTTCAATGAATTTGCTGGTAGGTATGTGTTGTGATGAAAACTAGTTTTCAATTTCCAAACCTTTTCCACGGCCAGAACATATAAGATTGCCTAATGTGGAATATCAAGAGAAGTATAAGTTGTATATACGGTATGTGATGTGCAGAATCATTGTCCAGTTTGTGCTGTCTCTTTGACTATTATATCATTTATCTTTCTGCCATTATATACCATGAAACTATGTGCTTCTTCTGAAGCGGCCAAGACAAATTGCTGTATTCAGTGTGGCGATAAGAAGTGGCTTTGATGTGCCAGCTGTGTCACAGCAAAGCTTGACAGGGTTAATTTGAACATTTGTGGAAAAATCATCAATTTAACACTTTTACAATTGAGGACCCATATTGTGTCAGCTTTCATGTTAAGACTTGCCAACTCCAAATGATTGAAAGTGAAATGGTGTCTGATATATAGCTGTGTTGTGCAATTTTGATTTAACCAAAATTATCATGATGCCAAACTGTGGCTAGATTTGAGTCTAATGTCATGCACAAATATGTTAAATTGCTAAGGCTTAATAGTGACAACATATAAAGCCCTGTTTCATTTCACATTCTCCTGTCAATAAATACAGCTAAAATGCAGTCAATTATTAAAACTGGATCTACTTTTCCTTCATTTGCAACATGCAGCTCTGACGAAGAGTTTCAAATCAATTTTCATCTGAAGCAAGTCGTAACATCTCCATGCTTCTGCTTTCTGGTATTGTGCAATCAAATATACAGTATACAGCGGTGGATGAGGTATTCAGGGCCTTTACTTAAGTAAAGCTAATACCACACTGTAAAAATACTGTTATAAGTATAAGTTCTGCATTAAATATCTGCAAATCTACTTTAAGTATGAAAAAATCATTAATTAAACTTCATGCAGAACAATGGCCCCTGTAAGTATTAGAGTGGACATCATTTGAACTATATCAAATACTGTTGATGGGTTTTATCTACTGTATAACAAATCATATTATATACACTAATCTTAAAATTTCCTATATAAACTCTTGATTTTAAAGTAGTAAAAAGTACAATGTTTCCTTCTAAAGTAGAGTAGATTAGAAGTATAAAGTGGTATAAAATGGAGATACAAATTCCTCAAATTTGTACTTAAGTACATTAGTAAATGTACTCAGTTACACCACTGACAGTATATGTAATATCAAAACTGGAAAGGGTATTTTTCCCAATTGTCGGACATTTTGTCAATTGTGTCCACACAATGTTTTGACTTTTCGTTTGCACCATATTGATTTTAAAGAAGATTTTAAAATCTGTGCTCAGGTGAAGGGGCTGTCATCCAGTTTCTGTGCCTCTTTGTTATAACTTAATGTTCACTGATGGGGATAAATAGTTGAAAGAATTTTAAATGAACTAACAAGTGTTAACTGATGAGTTAAGCTGATGTAGCTCTATGGCAAATCTTCAAAACTATCACCCAGTATAAGCATTGTATTAAATTTTAACACTGACAGTAGTTTGACTAACACATGCGTATGTGCATGTTTTGTTTTCAAGGTGTGAATGATGTTAACTACAGCCTCTACCCGAGCCGGGAGCTGCAGAGGGACTGGCTGACGGCCTATCTGGAGAGTTACAAGCACAACTCAGGATGTGAGGTCACTGTTACAGAGGCAGAAGTTACACAGCTCTACATTCAAGTCTGCAAATTCTCACTGGTAAGTGTCTGCTCCCACCGACTTTGTTGAAATGTTGAAATATGTCATTTTGTAGTGCCTCAGCACTTTGGAAAGACTTTAGAAAGTGACAAATCTCTCAACAGTTATTTCCTTTTTTTAAGTTCTGCTCTTGGAGGGACTCAAATATATCAATATTATGAGATTAGTGTGTTCATTTCAACAATATCCATATGTGTGCAGACCTCTGAAATGACAGGGCGGCAACACCTCACCATCACATTTTAACAATTTACTTTTCCAGCTCCCAGAAAAAAAAAAAGGAAAAAAAACTCCCCAAAGAAAACCAAACCCGATCCACAGCTGACCCACCACTGTTCAAAGTTTGATGGACTCCATCTGAGTTGATTAGAAACTGCCGCAGGGAAAAATGAAAGACAGCAGCCAAAATTATTTTTCTTATGACCACAATTTTCATTCTTTGGTGGCTCAAGTGGTGCTGGGCTATCTGTCTAAAAGTGCTTTCATAGCTCAACACAATATGCAGAATTGTCCTACCAATTTTGGGGTGGTGTGAATGTCTCTTGAAATAGCCCAGAAATGATGAGGAAGCATATTACTTTTTAAAATAACTTGTGCCTTGGCCAAAAAACAGAGAGGGATAAGTGAGAGGAGGGAAAAGAAATAAAGCCTGAAATGGAGTGAGAGAGGCGATAACATCATGTTGATTAAAATCAGATTTTCTATGACAAACCGAGGAGGACTCTTGACTTGAAGGAAGTGGGAGAAATTGATCACTGACGCTTAACAAGCCAAGTTTCCAGCTCGACTGATTTTGACAGCCATGTGTCAAAATGAGGGATACTGAGTATGTTAATCGAGAAAATCACAGGGTATTTCTTTCATAAATTGGAGGAATTGAGCTGAAACTTTTCCACTAAATACTGTGCTTTTGTACAGTACTTCACTTAATTAACTTTTATCTTTAAAGCATAAAGGTTCAGAGTCAAAAGAAAATATTAAATATCCATTATTTCTTTTCTCTTCAATTATGATAATTAAGTAATTTTTTAAAGCAATAATGTACTCATTCCAGCTTCTCAAATGTGATATTCGCTATATTTTTATGATAGTAAATCAATTGCTTTTGGGTTTTGGACAATTTGTCTGAGAAAACAAGAAATTTCAAGACGTTCTCTTGGGCTCTAGGAAATTGTGAAGGGATGTTTTCACTATTTTCTGACAAACTATTATCTATCTATCTACTTTTGTAGATCAAACTATTAATCAAGAAAACAATTGTTTATTTAGCCTCAATGTGGCCAAAATGAGATGAGATTTCAACATATCACTTTTGACCATTCATTTTCACAATACAGATCTCACTTAAAACCGCTTCAGCTCACATCTGGTAGAAACAGATGATAGTTGGTTACTGGCTTTGGAAAATTTCCAAAACAGCAATAATGATATTTTCACTCTGATGGCTTTTAATGTTTTGGGATTGGGTTTTTTATGTATTCCCATTATTATGAATTGGATTAAATGCCATTTTATCCTTGTGTATCACTTTCCTATCACTCGGTAATTGCTTGGAATAATCAAACTGCATTGAATTCACACTATAGTTAAGTCTCAGTAGATAAGAATACAGAATCAGAACTCAGGAACCAAGGAAACCAGTCTGTGCCAAAGGAAGCTGTGTGGCTCCGCTGTGTGGCATCGACAAAGCCTGGCCAGTTGCCAGAGCTCTGCGGCGTGAAGCTGCCTCCTTCAAATCGTAATCCCTGGCAAACTGTGCCAAGACGCAGTGGGGTCTTTATGACTTGTCCTCTCCTCCACAGGGATCCCCCGTGATGTCGAGGCTAAAGCCTGTGGCTCTGTGATGTCACTTCCCACACATCTCTCATCTCCATTTTTCTCAATGGCTCCCTGTCACTGATGGTCTCTGCTTAGTGTTATACTAATGCTCTCTTAATGGAAAGCAGTTATTAATCATAATGGAAACACGCTCAATCTCTCTCTCCAACCAAAGACAGAGATTAGAGATGAAAATCTGCCAGGGAGGGGAAAAAAGCCAAGGGAAAACCGCACATTGCTCTTCAAGTATTTCATTCCACCCTTTATTTGATTATCAAATAAAAATGTGATTATATCACTGGGCCGCAGAACAGAGGCCTGTCTGGATCTTATTTGGACTTGCTATTAGTGGTCCTACCATGAAGATTTACAATAAGGGTGGAGAACAACAGAAATTTATGGAGGCATGGAAGTCCGCAAGCCTAAGTGAGCAAAGCCATTAAGGAGGGAACCATTCAATACAGAGGTTTGTCATTCTGACTGAGTAGCTTGCAATTGGCAGGCAGCAGCAGCAGCAGTTCTGGGAGCAGTTATAACACGACAACTGGAGGTCACTGAAGGGAGTTTTTACAGTTCTGCTCAATGGCACATTGAAATGTAACAAAACATCAATGAAAAACAGAGTTGGTGAAACCACACAGCACCTATGATATTTAATTTACAACAATCTGCACCACATATTTTGTTATTATTATTATGTCATATTTTCATATTATAAGTGTGCAAATACCATAAACATAATCCAGTGTTTTACACTTTTCATATTCCATGCCTATAGGAGTGTCATGGACAAGCTACATGTAGTTAATGAAGTCTGTCATTCAATTATATGGATCCAATTTAGTCTCTGTCAGCAAGCATTTGCCCTGCTGAAGCATTCTCAAGCAAGACACTGACATCTGACCCCAGTGTGACCTTCCTGCAGGGGGCGGCATGAAGAAGTGGGCTTTTGAAGCTTTAATTGGATCATCAAAAGGGCATATGACAATTACGTCAGTCACACGTTTTTGCTGCCATTCCTTTAAGAACAACATCAAGTATTATACTGAGCATGCAAGTCCAACACATTATATTCGTTAACGTTACTTCAAGTGATGAGTGTAACTAAGGACATTTATTCCAGTACCATACTTTAGAACAAATATGAGGTACTTGCACTTTATTTGAGTATTTCCATTTTATGCATATTTGTACTTTATACTCCACCACATCTCAGAGGCAAATATTGTACTTTTTACTCCACTACATTTGTCTGACAGACAACTTTTCATCCTATCCAGTGAAAACCACGTACCTTCAAATTTGGTGATTTTTGAATGAGATTTTTTAATTAAGTGTTCCTTTATGGGTTGAGAAAATGATCCTAGTTCAAATTATTTAAAAACCTTCTTGGATAGCTGGAAAATGCATTGTCAAAAAGTTTTATGGTTTGCTGTAGATTTAACTAACCAACAGTATATAAAGCAGTTTAACAACTACAGCGGTAACATGCAACATCCACATTAATGCAGCAGTAATATTCATTCAAAAACATCATATATATAATAGTAAAACACTGACAGGAAGTAAGTTAAGTTAAATAAGATTTTAAATGCAGGACTTTTACTTGTAGTGTCACAGTGTGGTATTAGTACATTACCTAAACCCAGTCCAGTGTGTAACATTTAGGAGAAATGTAATATAATATTCATAGGTATGTTTTCATCAGTCTATAATCACCTGAAAATAGGGATCGTTGCGGTTTTGTTACCGTGGAATGAGCCGTTTTTATCTACAGAGGAAGTGAGTCCTCTTCAATGTCGAGCCACCACGTTTCTACAGTAGCCCAGAATGGACCAAACACTGGCTGTAGATAGGGCCTTCTTGCATTTTTGCAGTGTCGTGACCAGCTTAGTTTCTCTTACACACTTGAAAAGTCGAGCTGGATTCAAATTGTTGAAAATCTGCAATTTCACCGCTAGATGCCACTGAATCCTTGGTCCTTTAAGTAAAGGATCTGAATACTTCTTCCACCACTGGTTGCTGCTGTAGTTTTAATAAACCACACACACATACATTCTATTGTGCTTTATTTCAAGGATTAAAAAAAAAAGAATTATTGCATTACTATGAAACTCTGACAACGATAAAAACAGACATGATGTTCACTGTTATGGATTGACTTTGAGGTGTCATGAAGTATTTTCATATTATAATAAAATTAAAGAAAACCAGTGGCTACCTAGACATTTGAAACATTTCAATCACAACAACAGGCTTTGAAAACTGTAATAACTTTTTCTTTTTTTTCTTTGTCTTCCACCAGGCATCCAACTTCTTCTGGGGTCTTTGGGCCATCCTGCAATCAAAGTACTCCTCGATCGACTTTGACTTCCAAAGGTTAGTATTCTGACGAAGGCAGCTGAGAGGTCAGGCTGAAACATAGCACTCATAGAGGTTACAAGTTGTTCAAATTCAAAATTCAAAATGACGTCCTCCTGACATTAAGCACCACCTTCACATTAACACCACCTAACAACTGTTGAATGTCGAAATAAGTGAAACCACAAAGAAATATATGACTTCAGTGCAATTTCATGGAACCACCTCATTACTTAACATCATGCATCACTTATATGTTCACAAATGGGAAAATGTATCCTGCGCTTTGAATTCAAACACGTTAAACAAACAGGATCTTCATTAAGAATTGCCTGACAAAGAATTTGTTGGCATAGAAATTCCAATAAAGGACTGGGAGTCCAAAGTGTGGAAATATTTAATTTTTTTCCACCAGTGCTTTTTGTACCCAGAGTCTGACAAAGAACAGACAGTACAAGCACACTTCTTCTACTCTTCTTGTCACTTCAATCACAGGCAAACTATTTACACATGAATTCTCTGCTTTTCTTCACTCTTAAACCACAGATCATGAAAAGATGAAAGGCTCAGCTTTCACAAAGACTTTCAAAAAATCAAAACTAATTTCTTTTATTTTTAAATGATCCACGTAGGGACTAGTTATCTTTAAACAAGTCCAGGAGACATTCCTCACTACCATCAACCAGACAATAAAGTTCAGGAGGGCAAAATGTTTCCCTTCATCCCCACTTTTTCTCCCTTTCTCCCTTCCCTGTGTGCCCCACACCCGCCACAGTTGTGATCGTGATCCTAATCACTATTGACATACGGCACCCTCCCCTCTGTGTGGCTTTCCCTGCTCGCTTGCTAGATCAGCGACAGGGCCCCCGCTTCATTTCGATCTGGACCTCGGAGGAAATGTGATCCAGAGGGGTGCCGAGGCACAGAGGCACTATTGTTTCCATGCCGTCGGTCCTCCCTTACATATACGTCTCTCATCCCTGGCTGGGCCACATGCGCCTGCTAGACGTCTGCTCCTCTAAGCCGCCGGCTGAGGTTGTCATAAAGTGCATGGTGAGGGTCAGGTTACCTTTCCTTAACTGGAGGGCTAAACTGAAATGAAAGCAACAGTAACGATGGGGAACCAGGTCTAACATTTTAAGGCATCGCTACCCTGCAATTCTGTCCCTCAATCACATACACACATATTCCCTCTGCCAACACTACTTTCAGGATTCTTGATCGTTCATGCTGTAAAAAAAGAGACAATAAGGACGACAAGTATGTCCTCGCTTTTCATTCCATCATTTAAATACAGTGACAGTGACGGTCATGGCTCATAATGTCAGGAAAATGTCCTTGTAGTTTGTTTAAATAGCATAAAGCAAACTGCATTTACATTCAATAGCAAAGCAATTTTACTTTGACTGCTACAGAATGTCAGAAAAGGTTAAACTGAAAGCAGGGTTTACAACAGCTAACTGACACTTAGCAAGCAGGTAGTAAGCTTGTTTGCTTCTGAGAGCTTTTAACCCTCTTCAATTAAACAGAATATAATGGGGTACAATACCAAGAACAAAATGCCAGGCGGGGAGTAAAGTGCACGGCATAGTACAGAGAAAATGTAAAGAAATGTGGGGAGCTATTTGTGACTAGAGCTAGTGTTTGGGATGTCACTTCTGGACTACTGTGGAAACATGGTGGTTCAACATGGCAGCTTCCATGGAAGGCGACATCTGTAGATATAAACGTCTCATTCTAATTTAACGATTCAATACGATAACAATTCCTATATTGAAGTGAATATACACTATTAAAATGTTAATTTTTCTCCAAAACAAACTGGCAGATACAAAGTCAGGCCATAAGGCTCAGGCGTTAATAATGTCTTAGCAAAAAATTTGACACAGAAGGGCATTATCATATCAGTGAAGTTGTGTTTCTGGCCTTTTGAGGATTGTAACTTTATCTCCTTGTAACTCTGTTTAGGGTTAGATGTATTTGCTGTTAGGGGGACATCTATAACAAATTATCCAGCTCTTTAGATGCTCTACTTTCACAAGCTAGCTGCTAACTTTGTCTGTCTGCAGTTTGGTGGTACTGGGGAATTAGCGCAGAGTGTGTTTATCAAAGCCTCATTGCTGAAAACGGCTGCCTGCCTGAGATTGAACCATTCAGTAAATTTGCCATAAAATTTATTGCAGAGTTTGGTTGATCAACCTTTTTCACATTACACATAGTAATTTTATTAAATTCAAAGTATAATGATTAATGCAGCTTTAACCATAATTTACTTGTCATGACCACAACCTTACCCTTAGCTTAACCAAGCAGTTTTATATCGCTGCTGCTTTATGCTTTTGTGATAAACAACGATAAACAAGGCATAGGAAGTTAGAGTTAAACCCTGAATCTGTGTGTGTGTGTGTGTGTGTGTGTGTGTGTGTGTTTCCTCCCACTGTTATCCCCCTGAGCCAAATCTCTGCCAACTTCCCAACGAGTGACAGGCGTCGCTGAGGCCTTGTGCTTTAACCAGGACCAGATGTAGAAGTGACAATAGGGAGCCACAAGGGGAATGCAAACCCGCCCTCCATCTACCGTCCATATTTACTTTCCTTATTTGATTTTATTCATGTGTTGAAAGTGTCTGCAAGTCAGTGGTTTAGATTTGTGGACGTGTTGGCAAGGTGAGCCATTATTTAACAAAGACATTATTATGAGGAAATCAACGAGGAGGAGGCCCACTGTTTGGAATAGCCTGACTGCAAAATTGAGGAAATTGTGCACAAAAGCACATTGTGAAATGGAATACCTGCTTTGGAGGGAGTTCATTTTCCCCTACTTCTGCTAAAGAGAAAAACATCTCAGTTTCATCTCTGATGATGATAAATGTTAAGCACGCTAGTTTAAGGTGTCGGCCTTAATCAAAATAAGGATGAATGGGATCCCCTGTGAAGGTTGCAGTTCTTTTAAATGGGTATACTCCAATATAATTCTACTTGTAAAGGGTGTGGGCTTCCATCATACAGAAGTAGGCGTGGTTTCATCTAAACTGGGTATAGTGCCTAGTAATGAGTGATTTTTGATGTTTTTTTTTGGGGATAAGCTTACAATGAAACTCTATGTCCTTTTTATTTGAAGTAACTGAATGCTAATTTCATACCTTTGAGATTTAGATTCTAGATTGATTGAAATTCTGAAGCTCAAAATCATAAGCATTTCGAACTATCAAGCTTATAACATCATCTCAAAAAGATCTTAAATTATTGATATACACTATGATATGAAAGAAAGTTTAACTAGGAGACTGCGACAGCTGAAATTTACTTCTTCAATCGTCAATCCGGGTGTCAAAACTCAGAGTCACTTTCACCAGTGTGACTTTTTGTGCCCTGATATCGATCCGTAGGATTGGCTCGGGACCTAACGTTAACTGTATCATAGAATGCACGCAAATGCTTAACCTATCTTTTGCCTAACAATTAACATAAACTGATTTTAGAATATTGCCATCGAGGAATTCACTATTTGCGACCTTTTATTTATTTATTTTACACAGTGACAACCAGGTTTTGCGTCACATTGCTGTCTGAGTTAATAAAAGAACTGTCAATCATCCACGGTAGCACACAGTTTACTTAAGATTAAGTCTGTCCAGAGAAAAAGGCTTTTGAGTGTCACCAAGCTACAGGTGTATATTATATAGGTGGCCCATAAGTGAAGCAAGGAAACAACTCTTAGAAGAATTGCACAAAGCAAACAAAAGTAGCCAGACTGACACAATAATTAGAGAGCAGTTTTACCTGCGGATACAGGTGGAAAACAGATGGATAGAATACAAGTAACTAAAAGGCATGTGTCAGAGTTATGTTTTTGTCTCACCGAGCAATAGGAGAAAGAAAACTGATTTGACATTGAGGGGTTCGGTGAAAGCACTGATTAAAGGACAAACTCCTTTCTGTGCCTCCATTTTCTGTGCTTTTGAAACTTCACTTAATTTCCAAGGGTATAATATAATGGCCAAGGGCAACAGTGTACTCAGAATCAGATTTATTGAAACGTTCAATAATATGGTTTGAACAAATATAAAACCACTTTTCTCACAGTTAAGTTCTGAAATGCGCTGAGGTTATGGCACAACTTTCAGACTTTGTGCTTTATTGAATAGAGAATCGTATGCTATATATAATTAATTGTTATTATTATAATAATTATTCAAATGTACCAACTGTGATTATGCACTTTAAAGGAACACCCCTCATTTTTTCACACGAAGATCATGGTGATGTCATCTGGGTCATCTCAGCTTCAAGATTTCATGAGACTTTTTTTAAAGAAAATATTATAGTATGCTATCAGTTTTTGCATTGTGTGAATTTTCCTTATCCATCATCTTCAGAGTTTAACCCAAACTAAGGACTAAAAGTCAGAGTATCTCTGCCTCTTTTTTCTTGATTTTCACCATTGTTTTTTAAATGTCCAATTCACAAGTCCCCTGACTTTATGAAAGTGCACTGTTTGAGTTTTACTGTTATGTCAGGAGATGCATACTTACATGCGTGTTGGAATGGGACAATGTTGTTGTTAATAGTTTTTTGGGGTGTCAAGTGTGAAGTAGTTTGGATGAGCGGTTTTTGGAGAAAGCTGAGAAATTTTGCCCTGCAGAGCTGACAACTAGCTCTAAACAGAGCAGTTCCAGATCCACAGTATTAGACATACGCATGCACGAGTTTAAACAGCACTCGATGACTACATCATACTCAGACCCATGTAGAGAGAGGGTAAGGTTAACAATCTCTCAACAGCACTGGTTATAAACGTCAGTTCATTTTAATTTAGATGTTAATGTTTTGAAAACCCTACACAGTTGTTAACTTAATGTTATAAAGCTAGCATTAGCTACCTAATTTTAATTACTAATTACTTACTATTAATAATGGCAGCCTATCCTTTGTAACACCCTGCGAACCAGCTATAACTTGGTAGCTGGCTAGCTTCAGCATGAATTCATGTATTTTATCCAGAATAAAAATGGGTAAAGATTTAATCCATTCACTATCATGTTTGGATGGAAAACCTCTTAGAGTTAGATTTGCAAATTAGTCTGGTGGTGCCAGGCTAAACTTTAATCCAACTTTTTAATGCATATTTTGACATTATAAAAAGTAAAACAAAAACTTAATTTAGTTAAATAAATGTAATTTAACAATAATAATAATAATAATAATAATAATAATAATAATAATTTGATTGTGGCCAGTGCCTGAATTGAACAAAAAAAGGTGCCAGTACCCTAATTCAGCACAACCCTAACACAACATAACCCTAACCCTGATTCCTTTGGTGTTTTATTTTTTTTAACAAGGGCATTCTGTGCTGTTTTCTTAGCATTGAGCTAGCGGTGTGTTTACATGGAGACGCAAATGGTTTAGGAGTACCTCACCAGCATTGATGTAGGCAGTGTTTTAGAAATACAGAGGTTCAAAAACTGAGCTTGCTAGAGGGGTTGGGGGCATTAAAGTAGTTTAATTTCCCCACAAAAAAATATGATCAGGTGGCGGTACTAATAAGAAGGTACTGGTGTTGCTCATGTTTTGGGAACACCTCAAGTTGTGTCAGTAATATTAAGAAAGCTGCAAGCAGCAATATGGAATCCAAATACTCAACCTGTTCCAAACAGGCATTTTTTGAATGGACACTGATCTATAATGATTGCTTTTCGTGTGTGTCATTCACAGGTGCTTAGTTTGTTTCCTGTAGACACACACTCTCACAAAGAGAAGACATTTTGAAAACATCTGTGGACAACACATGCTGCTATTTTTAACACAATATGCCCAATGAAAAATAGGACCTCCCAATGAAAAGTGAATTTTCTTTAGATTTTGCTTTGCTTTAGTTCTGAATTTGACTTTTGTATATGGAAATAAACTTTAATGTGTCCTGATATAAGGGAGTCACAGAGACAGGAAATTGCACTTTTAAAATAGGTCTATTTTTTTAAAACCAAGAGGAACGAGGGAAAGACAGTGAATGCCAGACGGGATGATTACAGTATATACAATAAATATCCTGGGTCACTCTGAAGCCATTACATTGTGATCATGCACCATAAACATCCAAGGACAGTGGATGGTATATAGATTTACATAATACTAAGAGCTTTGAAGAAAAATTGTATGTTCTCTGATCGTTTTTCCTATTCTCTGCTCTCCTCCCAGATATGCCATGGCACGACTCAAGTACTACTTTGAAAAGAAAGAGGAATATTTTGGATTGTCAATGAGCTAGAAACAGAGGATAAAGGACCAGCATTTTTTTTTTTTAAATTAGAAGTAGTATTACCCTGCTCAGACCAGAGTTTTCAGTCATGTGATCCATGTCCTTCTTTGTCACATCATACAATGCTATTCACTAAACCCACTGTGGAAATAAAGGCATAGAATAAGCTTGTAAATGTGCTCCCCATTGTTTGTTTTTTCAGGCTGTTGTGTGAGTTAAAATGTTTTGCTATCACTGTGATTTTTAAAATATTTGTTTTACCACAGTCAGTATGCCGATAAGCGTATTTGGCAAATTGAGATGGAGCTCATGCCAGAAACACATTAATTGTTCCCACATTTAGCCGAGTCGCATAAAGCCACAAAAACTGAGCCTGATCATAAAACCCATAAGAGGGTTATTTGCATGCTTATTCAGTGTGTACCACAGTTCTGATGGAAAACAAGTCTCCATTTCCTTACATTCAGTACAAAGTAGTGCATTATTTTAAATATTTCTCTTTTCTAAGGAGTTTTAAAGCTTCTTTATGTGGGATGTTCACTAATCAAACAAAATATGATTACATCGGCCTAATACTATTCCATAAGGAATGCGGGACAATATTTACGCTGTTACTGTACTATAGCTGTGCATAGGAAGCAGCAAAAGGTTCAATGTGGTTAAAGCAGGAAAGTCAGTAAATCAGTCGCTGATCTATAAATGAATGTAAGTGATTCTTACAGTATCTGCTGTCAACAATGGCTTTATATTGTATCAAAAAGCTTCTCCCTCAGTTAATCCCTGCAGCGTCTGAAGGCACTGACTGATATGTTAAGTTGTTGTAAGTACCGTTAAATCACCTGCAAAAACAGCAGACTGCTAAAATATAACCATACAGACCTCTACACACATCAGACTGGTCTGATATGACTCGATATTCTCTTTATGAAGGAGACATCCGGTTACCAGGGCTTATTGTAGCCTCATCCAACCCTTATTTTTGGCAAGCGTCTCATGTTTTATCCGTGAAACACACTGCAGTGCAAACGCTGTTGTGTAACATAAATTATTAAAGTATATGACCATGTACGAGGTAAGATACATTACAATTATTACTAAAAGAGTGTTGGCCCAATTATATAATCATGAATATCATAAAAGCGTTTTCACCAAATCACTGTCTTTATTTTGATACAGTATTTAATAATCACCAACTATGATCACCTTCACCCAGCCCTTTCATTCCATATATTCAGACTTTCATTGCATATATTTAAACTTGACATTTATTTATGTTTCATCACTTTTGACACTATAGCCTACAACTATCAGGACATGCGGAGATGTGATGTCATTATCATCTGCCCTATTGGATGCCTGTTGCAGGTCATTAGCTTGTCAGTGTCCCAAATGGTTAATAAATCAGAAACCTGATATCAAGGTATAACATAATGATGGGCAATGCACAGTACTGTATAGTATAATTTAATGTATAACATGTGACTGAACCAAGAGGAGATTCAATGCGTTCAACACTCATTTTCTGAGTAACTATGAACCGTTGAACCCACGAGCGGTATGAACCCAAAATAGAAGATTTTGTTGTGATTCAATTACACTAAACGGACATCATGATGGCAATTTGTAAAAAGTCAGGTCTGTTCGCAAGGCGACCCGCAAACAACTTTTACTCTAGAATCCACCAGGTATGGCTTTACAACATCACGTGTGACACGGTTTGGCTCTGTAATCCACGCGTCTTTAAATCCCACCAACAACGTTTCAGGAGTCAATTGCATTATAGTGTGTTCCCTGCCCGACATTGTTTACTAGGGCATCTATGCTTAAAAAATATACAATACAGTATTTTTCTCCACTTAAAATCTCCTGACTGACTGACTTCTGGTCTGGTGCCACGATATCATTCGAATATTGAAATTCGATCCAGTATTAAAAATTGATCCGATTCTCTATGCTGTGTCTGACTTCCCACCAGTTCGATCTGCTCTGTGCTGCTTAACATGAGTGGGTCGTGACTTCCATCAAAAATATACCATGTTATGGTAGATAACCTGCTGAAAGTTCAAGTGAACAGAAGAAACTGTAGTTTAGCTTAACTGTAGCTTAATCAAAGTGGATGTTGTGTGCAAGTGTGTCAATGCTAAATAAGCTAAAGCCAGCGAGTTGCTAGACCAGATGATGCTACTACTGAAAGGAAAAGACTATTTTGTGTCTTCTGACGAGGATTTTGCCTGCACTGCCGACTGGTTTCTTCTTTCATTTCTTCCTGAACTGTTTCTCCAGCACTGACGTCGAACTGTGAGTTGGACTTGTTGACTGTTTGTGTGTTTGTGAGTGTGTGTTAGGGTCCACTGTGGTCTTTAGAGCCTGAAATGCTATACATAAAAGCTGCAGAATGTTTCTTTTACTTCTTGTGATTTAGTGGCTAGCAGTATCTCTGCTATGGATTATGTTTAGTGCTAATGTATGATTATGATGTAAAATCACCAGTCTCAGTTGTTTTGTCAACCATTTCCACTACAGTCAAGAATAAACATGCAATCTAATTTTTTAATCTAAAATAGATGAGAAGTCCCCAAAGTGCTTAGAAAAATGGAAATCTAAGCATCTACAATTCCACTGCAAATGGGCAACTTCTGATGAAGGTAATATAATATAATCAAAAGGTCCAGAGCAGCTACTAAACCTTAGACATTGAGATTGTTTTGTCAGCTGATATCTCCAGAGGTCAAGAATTAAATTTTGAGTTCAACTTTACTCTCAAAGATTTTAATTTATTTTCCCCGCAGTATCTGCTGCTGGCAACTTTAAGTATGATTAAGAGCTTCATGATTATGTTTAGGCAACTCAAAGCACTTGGTTAATGCTCTGGAAATATTGTGGTAATGGCAAATACATCACAAGGGTGGGCAACCAAAGCACTTGGTTAAATTTTGAGAAAGGTTGTGATCTTGGTTTAATATTGAAAAAGGCAGTGCTGATTTGAAGGATTAGAGAGTCAAACTAATGAGCAATACACTCTCTGCCTTCTAGCCCGCCTTTCTCTCCACAAATTGTCAGCAGTATTACAAGATTGCACTTCTTTGCACTGGAGCAAAACATTGCAAGTGAACATAATTCAGGTGGCGCTGTGTGTTGTGTGTGTGTGTGTGTTGTGGGACATTTATGTTACAGTTGTAGTGTCAGTTATTCACCTGTGCGAGTGTCCCCTGCATGATTCAAGGTGTGATTAGACACATTAACCACATGAGAAGCATCTTTGAACACTGCCAGCCACCTTCAACCATAGAAATAAAGAAAGCTTTTTGATCCTAAAATATCTTGTAGCCTCAGAGGACCAAGTAAAAAGTTACATGTATGGAACCTATTAATTAAACTGCTAATTTATGTCTCTTTATAGTGTTTTGTTTGTAACTGTGGCACACACTATAACCGCTGAGTTACTGTAACTAACTTTAGACTGGAATGATGGAGGGTTTGGTTTCTTAAGGTAGCTACCACGAAGGTTTACCTGTTTTGGGAGAAGTGTATAGCCTAACATCCTGCTAATAAACAAAGAAACTGTGCAGTGGATCTATTCACAGTGACTATACTGTATTTATTTATACTGCAACTCCTTTGAATGAAAACTGTTTATTGATTGTTTTTTTAAATGCACAATTAATATTCACCATTTCAGTTACCAGGAATCAAAAACACAAATTACCTTAGAAAATATGCAAAACCGACTTGGCTTATATACCAAAACTTAAATCTTCTTAGATTTCTTAGGTAGAACTGTTTTTATCGCTGTTTAGCAATATACCAAAGTGGATAACGAAGTTAGTCAAAACGGTATATACAAACAGTATATAACAGTGTTACAGTAAAGATGGAGATGTTAAAAAGGAGCTCTGCAGATATTAAAACATGATTATGTTTACCTCCTACTTGCATGGAATTGAGTCCAAGCATGAAAGGTTGCCACTAAAGGTTGCCACTAAGCACTATTTTCACAAGTTTCTGTTGTTTTAACCCACGGCTTTTCATTTTCTGTTGTAAAAAAACCAGCATGTAGTGCGTCACACCATTTTGGATAGTGAACAATAAGTTGATGTGTAGTCAATGTAACAAACACATAAGACTGTGCAAAATGGATGCAACATGCTCAGAAATGTCAAGTCCCCTCCTCTGCATAACTGTGTCTTTGTCTGCGAGGGAAGCACAAAAGGGAATGTGATTGTAAAATCAGTTGAAAGGATTATGGCGGGTGAAATGAGGGGAGGACTGGCAACAATGCAGGTCTTTACCTCCTCATGGTCGCACACAGTTCCACTCATCAAGGCTGCAGCCATGTCTTTGAGTCAAACAATCCAGCTGCTTTCAAAGTGCATTTTTCGTTAAACATATAACATTTAATTAGCGGACTAATGCACTTAAAAAGACCCAAGGACTTTGCCTCAAAAAAGAAAAATTGGCCTTTTGTCCATTGCCCATCCAAAAACTGCTTTAGATTTTTTCTTTCACTTCTAATTGCAATAAAAAAGAAGTATAGGGCTTTATGCAATGTTTCAAAGACACTGAAACACAGACACAGCTAAAGCAACTCCTTTCAGGGTTTTTTCCCCCTATGATTTCCTTTTATTCAGGTATTGCATTTAGCTTTTTAGTTATTGTTGAAGGCCTCCCAAGGCTTCTGACCCTTGGAACCCCCCCCCCC